GTACTGTGAGGTTCATTTCATTTTCCTGTTCTATTTTATTTGTAGGCTTCCTTGCTTTTGGTCATGAATGATATGAGAAAGCTGGCTCTAGGGTGGAAGTGTCTCACTTACTTAGTTCTATGACTTGTTTGTGAGTGTTGCAAGTGCTGTAAAAGATGTACTTTTTTTTTCTTTTTTTGTTTAAAATTATTGTTTTTGTTTTTGTTGGTTTTCTCGGGTGCAGTCCACTCTTAATTCTATTTTCTCTTCATTTCGAAATTGTTTTAGTTTTTTTCTCCCTTTCAAAATGTAACTATCTAACAACTATTGTTTTGTCATTTACTATTTAATCCGTAAACCGCCGTATAACTTAACTCAATTTGTGTCACGATGTGGTAAAATCAGGCGCTTGTCAATTTTTTGGCATGTGTGAAGTTATTGGTATCGTCAAAGCTTTTATTCATTTTCCTTGCTTTTAATGGAAAAAATGCCTATCTATATTGAATAGAAGTCGTGCTGCTTGCTGCTGAAAGCAATGGAGTCACCTGGGTTTTGTGGTAAAATTAGCAAGAAAATGGCCACCAAAGTTTGGTAACTTCAGTACCTTGAGAGTCCTCGAAAACTGAAAAATTACACATTTTGTATCTTGAATCGTTTTTCAGTAAAAATGTCATGGAAATGTGTTTTTATTGGTCATAAAAAGGTGTTGAGCCCCAAAAACAAAAAAATCGTAGTGAATGAAAAAGTTATGCCCATTTCTTTGATTTCTCATTATTTTGACGAGCGCCTCCTGATTTCACCGCAATGCCTCACATTATAATTTTGTTCTCAGAGGAAAGGATGCAGACAGGAGAAGATTCCCAGTTCTCGGATTGTGCAAGCTCAGCGCAAGGTGGTTTGCCAGACGACTGCGTGGAGATGGAGGACCTGGGGCTCCCGTCCTCTCTGGCGCTGTCCTTTGCCCAGTCCCAAAGTACGGAAAGGATTAGAATGTTTTTGTTCATTATTTAACCCTTTGGAAAGGATAACAAAGTTTTTGTTCATAAATTAATCCTATGGAAAGAATTAGAATGTTTTTGTTCATTAATTAACCCTATCCATACGCCCTGGGGTCATTTTGTACCCCCGGGGTTGTATTCTTCACATTTTACAATACTTCCAGTACGAAGATCTCTTTTTGAAACTTTCAGTATTTCTCAAAAAATCATTTTGACAGACCGCTATGCAAAGTGTAAGGTTCGGATTAACGAGTAAATTTCCTCTTTGGAAAAAGTGGTGGCACAGAGTTCCCCACGTCGTATGGGTACGATAGTAAAACTCGATGTACGGATAGGGTTAAGTAGAAAGTAGATTGTCTATTAAAGTCCACTATACGTTGTATGCAACTTTCTATATTTTGTAGAAAAACAAAACACATCCCTCACTACCTCCCCCCCCCTCCAAGCTACAAATATCTCCCTGACTGCAATGACCTCGGGATGTTTGGGTTGTCCAAACTGGTGATGTGTCATGTGTGTTTGAAGATTTGCCCTAGCCTCTTGCCACCTGTCTGTCGTAATGTTTATTGTGAGGGATAGGAAAAACTTTATCCTGGGCTCGAGCCTTTTGTGACTGTCATTATTTCTCCTCCTTTCCTTTCTTTGTGTGTTTTTCTCTAGTAAAAACCTCAAATCTTCAGCACTGCTATATGATCTAATTGTGTTGCAAGTGCTGTAAGACTCTAACTAAAAGTAAAAGTGGGTGGTTGGCGGGTGCTCTGGTGTGGTTTGCTCCCTCTTTCCTATCAAACATCTTATCGTCCTTGTCTCCCCTTCTTCTTTTTTATGTTTGTTACTCTCTTCTTGTAACACCTCTATTCTTCTGGCGCTCATGTGACCTTATGCAGTTGCGAGAACCGTAAAACCTCTACTAAAACTAAACTTAAACTAAAAATAGATGACTCTCCTTCTTTTCTCTTTACATGTTTTTCTCAAGTAACGCCTTTACTCATCAGCGGTGATGTGACCTAATTATTAGGTTGCAAGTTCTGTAACACTCTAACTATATAAACAAAATTAAATCACGAAATTAATACCATGTCCGCGGGTGGTTGGCGGGTACTCCGGTGTGGTTTGCTCCTTCTATCAAACATCTACCGTCCTGATCTCTCCTCCTTTTTTGTATTTGTTTCTATCTTGTAACACCTCTGGCGTTGACCAGATGACAAGGACATGTGGTTATTTGAGGGAGGCATTGCGCTGCCAAGAGCGAAATGCTCACAGCTAAAGGGATTTGAAAACAACAACATCTTGTAACACCTCTAATCTTCGGCACTTATATGACCTTATTGTGTTGCAAGTGCCGTAACTGTAAGTAAAACTATACTTAAACTAAATACGGACCTGCCCCTCATCCCGATTTCGATTGCATGTATCCCGATTCTTTTGTTCCTTATGTTGCGCCAGATTTTTCTTAAAAAAAATTTTAAAAAATAAATTACACTTTTATTTGTCCCAGAAGGGCACTTTGTTTTACAATGGCAAACATACATATATAGATACATAATTATAAATACGTACATGCATAAATACATACATGCATAAATACACACTATTACACAAATACAGAACAGTTTACAAACAATGCCACTGTCGGTCACCACTGTGCAGCGCCCTGTAATTTGAGCTAGGGTTGTCGTGTCTTGCTCAAGGACACACTCCAGTGACCACGCATCTGATCCGCGTGTCACCGTCACTTGCTTAACATTGCTTGAGTCAAAACTCACTACTCAGCCATTGGAGCCCCCAATGCTAAAAGCTAACTAAGCTTTCATATATATATTTATGGACACTCATTGCCATTGTAAATTTTTAAGTCGGCTTGGCTGTCACCCTGGTGATTTGTCGATGATCCTGATTTTTTTCCCCAGGTGCAGAGATCCTGCTTTTTAGATTTCATAGAATGGCAGGTCTGTAAATACCATAATGTCCTGTTTTTCAGCCTCTGAGTCGTTGACCCTGCCCGAGTCGCCCCTGACGTCATCCGCCCTGGCCCCCCTGACGTCGTCCGCCCTGGCCCCCCTGACGTCGTCCGCCCTGGCTCCCCTGCCAGTCATCATGGCTCCCAGCCTGCCGGGCTTCTCCATCACCCACGGTACCGACCATCCTCCGCGGCCCGTGAGCATCGTCCCGATCCAGCACCGGAGAGCTCTGGAAGAACTCCAGCTCAATAAGGCCAAGGCACTGCCAGAAAGACAGGTGAGACCTTGTGGGGCTCTTTTTCGGTTCAATTTTTTAGTACAGGTGAAGGGTTATTTTA